AGAGTGGTATCAAGATAATGAGGGGAAAAAAATAGTAAAGACACTGGGCAGGCAATGAATTTTAAAAATCAATTAAAGAATCAATGCCATTTTCATTTTGTCACAAAAAGCCTGAGTCAGAGACAATGCTAGATCACAAAAACCCTGGTTTTATTGGCATTTCTGGCAATGTTAATTAAATGAAAACCCTCTACTGATTGACTGATAAAGCACACAATGAGAGTAAATTACTGCTATGGATTTGCGTACGCATTTTACTTGGGTAAGATGCTTAAGTGGTGTTTTCCTTAGCAGCTATAGGCAATGGAAAATTCTCTAATGTCCCAAGCTTAGTATTTATTAAATAAGCTAAATTATTTAAATATTATTTATGTTAATTGATATAAATCACTACTTTGATCATCTGAAAATATTGCACTGGTTTATCACCCATTTAGTAGCCAGTAGCACACAAGTATCAAATATTTACTTTGTGTTTAACCTGATCTCGGCTCGGGCTTTCTGGGTAAACATCAGCACAAGACTCACCATTCCTCAGCACCCACAGAGCACCCATGGGATACCCTCAACTGTTCCAAAGCTCTGACTGAGGCTAAAGAGATGTCAACTATCAGGAATTTCTAAGTACAATGTGATGCTAGAGTGATTCAGAATGCCAAAAAAATTAAAAACAGAAACACCTATTTTAAAGAAAATAAGCCCAGACAACACATGACATTCATCAATGACAGTTAACTTCTGCTCTAGAACTACTTAACAAAAATTGCACATGGTGTTCTGTTTCATTTTCCATTTCCTTGTCATTATCATCCCACCCATGGTCAACCTGTGCTTTGAAATTTCCTAGTTCCCAACAACATGAAACACTGAAGCCTAAAAGCTGTGAGAGGGTACAACCCCTTACTCCACATCCTAACCCAAGAGTGCCCTGGGTTGGTTGGGTAAGAATTGTCTGAGCAAGTAGTGCTCTGGCACAGTAAGGCAATAGGAAAAGATGCACCCCGAACATAAAGAACTGAACATTAAGCAGGAAAAACTAAGCCATCCATTAACGAATTATTGGAAACATGAATACACACACACAAAATAACGTTGGGATACCTGGAAAATGCAAGTGTATCTGAAAGTGACATGATTAAGACAGCATGCATAACTGCTGGAAGAAAGGACAAGAATGGGTCATTGTTTCTTGGGAGAGAAAACTCGCAGCAGAATTAGGTTATGCAGCACTGGAAAGGGAGTGAAAGGCCAGGCCAGAAGAGAAGTAAACACGAGACCTGGCACCATACTGTCGGGCATTTTGAGGGAAGCTTGGAGCCAGTCCCCCAGTTCAAAGGAGTTGGAATCCGGGCAGAAATGCACTCACAGCACCCATGTGGAAATGCACACACCTGCCCAAAGATGACGGGTCCGCTGCCTTTGTACCTGGGCATGGATTATTCCCACTCAGCAGTCCAGCACTGTAACAGAGCACTCTTGGACGAGAAGACTAAAGCATAAACTTATCCCTCATGGTTCGGAAGATTCAAGCCTTATTGAGTAGGGGATGTCTTCGGTAAACTCTAGTTTAGGGTGAAAACCCTGCAGACAAATGATCCTCCATGGCGCAATGCCAAATCTGAGACTGCAGAGTGAGTTTTCAGACTGAATCCATTCTCAATGTGCCAATTTACAGGCATCAAGGCTTCAGCAGAACAAAAGGCACTCAATTATTTAAGTTGCTTTAGACTTTATAAGTATTCCAAGGAGTAATTCAAACATGGGCATGAGTTCTAGTCATGTGATACTTGCTAGTTTTCAATTCCTGTTTCTCCAATGGGCTAAAATATCAAAACTTCAAAGTAAGATGAAACCTGCTATTTTCCCACGACACTGAGGACATGTGGCACTAAAGCAGGTTTTGAAATTGTTGCCTCCAGGGTCTGATGCTGTGGTGTAGTGGGTTAAGCATCCGTCTGCACTGCCAGCCTCCTTATACATGTGCCAGTTTGAGTTCCAACAGCTCCACTTTCAATCCAGCTCTCTGCTAATGTACCTGGGAAAGCAGCAGAAGATGGCCCAAATCCTTGGTCCCCGCACCCTAATGGGAGATTCAGATGAAGTTCCTGGATCCTGGCTTCAGCCTGGCACAGCCCTAGACATTTTGGCCATGGGAGAGTAAAACAAAATGGAAGATCTCTATCTCTCCTCTCCCTCTCTAACTCTGCTTTTGACATAAAGAAATAAATCTTTAAAAATGTGTATCTTTAAAAAAAAAAGAAAACGTTGCCTCCACCGTGTGTCTGAGGCACTTTGCCTTGATACCATCATGCCTAACCTGTCATTTGACTTACAAAATGCACTTCCAAGACATAATAGACCATTCATACGTTGGCATAAATGTTAAAAACCTTGTGCTAGGTACTTCTTTTTTTTTACTAGTTGGGCACTTACCAATCAAAATTATACTTGATTTTGAAGGCTTTAAAAAAAAATCTCATCTTCTTGTACACTTTGGCCCTAGAACGTGTCACTATGACAACCTACCCATGCTTATCCATCAGACACGACAGGTGTGTTCACAAATAAAGGCCGGAAAAGACAAACTGCACCTTCTGTATTCCGTGTGAGAGTCATCATCAGCCCAGCACAGGAAGGAAGCAGAATAATTCTACATCTAGATCCATGATGCAGATCTTGGTTTACACTTGTAGATCCATTGTTGGTTAACTGATTCCATCTCTTTAGTTTACTTCTTCCTTAGTCTCTCTTAATTTTAAACTCAAGTCACAAAAACACACTCATCAAGAAAGCAAAGTGAACATTTGTTCCAATAAAAAAAATAAATAAGGCCACATTTTCAGTCCTGGTGTGAGCTCAAATGGCTGGGACAGACAGCCAGCAGGGACATCTGTCAGGCAGAGCCAGCTCCGCACCATGTACATGTGGCTAGCACTGTTTCCAGAGTGAATGAAAGCTCTGCTAAACACGTTTACACCCATTTCAGATCAAGGAAATCAATGTAAAGCATATTGAGAAAAAACACAAAATGCTATGAGTACCCTCAATACAGATTCATAATATTTGTTAATATTCTACATAAAAGATAAGAAGTGAAAAACAGTCTTAAAGAATGTACACAAAAATGAAAAGTTTCTTGTGAATAGAGGAATTCAGTGATTTCACTTTTTTCTTATCTGTATTTTCTAATACTTCTATAATAAATACAAGTTGTTGATGAACTGACAAGAGTCTTCATTTCAAAACTAATGAGAGATATCACAGAAGAAAATTCAGTTTTAAAACATCATTAGTGCTGACTGTGGGGAAAGAGCTACGTTTGCCTGATGTTACAAAACAATGCAAATAGCACTCAAATCAAATCCCCGCTTTCAATGATGCAAACCTCTGTGAGAACCAGGATTTCACTGGAGATAGCAATAACATTAGTAGCTGTGACTCACTCCCAGCTCAGGAGCTGAGGCAGTTGGGAACGTCCCTAATCTTGTAGAAACTTCACAAATTGGGAATCATTCCAGTTTCACATATAAGGAAACTGAGGCCCAGAGGAGAGAAACCAAATTCACAGGAAATCTGCATGGATTCAGATCTGCACTCTTCACTTCCATGGGTCTGGTAAAACATTGTAATTGAAAGAATAAGTAGCATATAAGCCAAACAAGTAATAAATGTCTCCAAAGAATTACTTGGCACTAAAACCAGCTATTTTGTATGTTTCCAGAAACAGCATTATCAAAACAGATCATCATTTTTTCCAGCACAGTGTAGAGCAGCTGGCTGTCAACAACGGGGGAGGACAGACTATCAGAACTGGTGGCTTTTCAGAGGCAGTTAAGAATGGGGACAGCCCAGTGTCTCCTTTCAAGCTGAGAAACACAAACTCTCATCATCGACCTTAAGGACAAATAATACAAACACTGTGAAACACAGACATGGTATACCCTCTCACAGGTATACCCTCTCACAGATCCTTGAGAAGTTTGCTATAGATACGTGAAATAATTTTTTATTGCACTGATCACACACACAGAGGCTACTTCACTTAGCAAGTTCATGGGAACGCTAACACTGGAATTCTGGGCTCTTCCTGTGACTGTCTGCACATCCATACGTGAAAACCTATACCAAGACAGAACACATGGTGTGCCCCTGCCCCATAACCCTGCTAGGATTCTTCTACAAGCCAGTCAACACAAACAAAAACATATTTTATGCATATTCTCTCTAATCCAGGAGATAGACTTGATTACAAAAAAACAATCCAACAAAAACAAAAATTTGCAAAGAGGACCCAGGCTCTGGGATGTAAGACATGTTCCCAAAGCTTAGAGCACTTGGCTCTGTGTCAAGACGAAGCCCAGTGCCCGGGGCCTCCAGGTGCTGGCTTTGATCACTACCCTTTCCAAACAGAGTGATGAGGAGTCTGAGAATCAGGGTCTAAGTAAATGACATGTACATACTCAGAACTCAGTCATTTAGCAAACACGCATGAGAACTCGGTCCTTCTTGGGACAGAGCTACTGCTGAGTGGTAGGAAAGGTAGCTCATCCTAGACGAAGGACCTACAGCTGCCAGGTAGGGACACAGCAGGGGAGCGACCTCCTCTTATGCCCTCAGTGTGTGACACGTCCCTCTCAAGCTTATGGCTGGAGTCTGAAGCTGCAGCTGTCACAACGTCCCGGAAATCCTATAGCAGTGCCTCCAGGAGCTGGGACAGGGGACTTGCGGGAGTCCCCGAGTGTGCTGCCTCAGCAGCTTCGGCGTGCCTGTTTTTGATCTGCGTTTATAGCAAATAGCAAATCCATCCACCTATCTGCAACGCCTCAATGGTGCTTCTTTCCCTCTGGGTTTCTTTTCTAAGTCTAGGAACAGAGCTGTGGCATGTGACAGAGGCACAGAAGTTATATTCCTAAAAACACCTGACAAGGTGGGGGATCCATTGATCATGCTGTTAGGTCTGCCTGCAGAACTGGAAACACAAACTAGTTATCCATACAAACCTTTCTTTCACCGTCTTCTGAGAGCCATTCATCTCCTTTTTCCTGTTATTGAAGACATAAACAGAGTAATCAGCTCCCTGCAGGGAGGGTATTGCAAGGTAAGCCCCACCTCCCTTCTCCCTCACGTTCTCAGTGAATTGCATGAAAGTCCTCAGGAGCTCCTTCTAGAGTCGGAGCCACCTCCCTGTGTTCCTCCCACTTACCTGCCCTCGCCCTTAGACAGCACATTCCCATTCTGATGCCTTGCTTCCTGTGCCTGTCTTGTGGACAAACACAGCACATCATATTCTCTGCTCCACTTTCATTGTTTTCCTACTTAATATAAAGTCTTGGAGCCCCACTCTTTAGTACACAGTTGTTTTCTATTCTATGTGTGAAGCATAAATTAATGAGCCAATCTGTATGGAAGAATATTACACTTGTCCTTATTACTTGTTATCAATTAATACAGTTATGGAGTATTCCTAGCTATTGAAATTACTGTTCTAAAAAAGAAAAGGGCTGCACCAATTGAGACAAGCACTGCTGCTTCTTTGCACCTATACTTCCATATAAAGACAGAAATAAACCCTCTCTAGAGAGACACCATAAAGTAAGCCCTTCATCTGGATTTATTAAGCACTGGGCATTGTCTACTTGGTCTTAGGAAAAACCCATCATTTATTACTTGCATTTCTTTCACTAGGGATCACATGGATCTATTTCCACGTCATTTGGAGATTTGTATTCTTTATGCGAATTTCCTATTTGCTTCATTTGCCTTTCTTTTTATTGGTCTTTCCATTAGTTAAATCTTTCTAAATGAAGAAAACTTTAATTTGTATTGCAAATATTTTCTTCCTCATTTCAATTATGTATGACTTTATGATATTTTTCCAAAGAGAAAAGTTTTACTTTCATACAGAGAAAGGGTATGGCTTTGAGGAAGATCAATTCTTCAGATATAGCATTGTGAGACCCACTGAATATGTGTGTTCATGTTAGTCCTCCCCACTGGGCTCTCCCAGCCCTGGGGTTGCCATGCCCAGTCTCCTGGGCAGGAAGGTCTTTACAAGGTCCAGTGTTACCCCCATAGCCGTAACAAGAGTGACCTAATATCTGCAAGGTTCTCCATTAAATTCAGAATCAGTTATTCTTGTGGCCAAGGAAGGAGAAAAGGGCTAAAGATGATAGTGAAATGAAGCAAGTACAGATTCTCCCTTCTATAAATTTACACTGTTATAGAAGGAAGTACACGGACACACATACTGCAGTGGGAGCCACGGTGTGATCTGGATGACACAGAAAGTATAGACGAGTACTGTAGGGGTCAGTGGAGGAAGAGATGCTCCACCTGGAGAAGGCTCTAGAGAACTCCAAGTAGGAGGAGCCTGGTGTTTGCAGGGAGTCGGGCACGAGTGGAAGCAGAAAGACAAAGATAAGTACAAAAGGCAGAGGGCAGGCCAGGCAGCACACACAGCACAAAAAAAAGGCAGACAGGTACAAAGCATGCTGTTCAAAAATTAAAGTCAACTTCCCTCCTCCTCCTCCTCTTTATTGAATGCACAAAATTATCCATGAAATTTTAGATGATCTTTTCAAAGGTAGGAAAAATTTAAAAACATTAAAGGTTGAAAACCATCAGAAAAAACTCAGAGTCACGAAGGACCCAACCACTGCTGTGCACAGGTGTCTCTGAAACACCTGCCAAGCTGACCTACAGGCACCCCAGGATGCTCCCAGGGGCAGGAACTCCAGTACACAGCTTCAGATGCGATTTCAGCATTGCTGTTCACGCCCCTCCCATTCTCCTTTGGAAAAGGATTGACTCTTCCCAAAACCTTTACTCGCTGTTTCGTAAACTCAGCAGGCAGCATAAATACAAAACACTGCTTGCACAGAACACTCTTCACAAAGGTTCCTAACAAATCAGCACTAAGACCTGGAGAAAATTTCGGTCCACTGGGATTCAGCTGGTTCTCAAGCACCCAGAGTACAGGAATGTGGGTGCCATGAGCACAATTTAAAATAAGTAAAAGGAAAAGTACACATTTCATTTTTATTATCTCACAGAAGAGCTTTTCAAATTAGTTAATGGTAATAAAATTCCATTCAAAGATGAAAAATAATATTAGAGTGCTGAATTTTCCCAGAGTTGCCATGACTTTACAATTTACATATTTAAAGTGTCCTGAGGATGGAGTGTCACACAACAGCTCAGCTTTTTATTTTGATGTCACCCACTTCCATGTCATTGATGTACACAATGACGAAATAAATGGCCAGGGCCAAACCCAACCACAGCATCTGCATGTCAGCAGCTCCTTTCTCCTGGAAATGGCAGCAGAGCCCATGCTGGAGGAACAGGGGTGGGGCCAGAGCTTCTGTTCTAGAGGTGGAGGGATGATGGCTACGTGACACTGCGTGCGTCACCACTGCCACCTCTGGGTTGTGCATTTGGAAATGACTAAGGTTGCTAAGTTTACACTGCATGTAAGGGGACTTCAGAAAGCTCAGGGAAAATGAAATTAAAAGATGCCTATTTTAGTGCAAAAAATTTGGAAATCCATGCATAGTTTTTTCATAATATGTATTCTCCATGAACTTTTTGAAGACCCTCATGCTTCAAAAATTTTTGCACCAAATTTATTTATTTATTTATTTATTTGGCAGGCAGAGTGGACAGTGAGAGAGAGACACAGAGAGAAAGGTCTTCCTTTTGCTGTTGGTTCACCCTCCAATGGCCGCCGCGGCCAGCATGCTGCATCCAGCGCACCACGCTGATCCAAAGCCAGGAGCCAGGTGCTTCTCCTGGTCTCCCATGTAGGTGCAGGGCCCAAGCACTTGGGCCATCCTCCACTGCACTCCCTGGCCACAGCAGAGAGCTGGACTGGAAGAGGGGCAACCGGGACAGAATCTGGTGCCCCGACCAGGACTAGAACCCGGTGTGCCGGCGCCGCAAGGCGGAGGATTAGCCTATTGAGCCGCGGCACCAGCACCAAATTTATTTTTAATTCTGTTTCTATGGACTTTTTAAAATACCCTCATGTATTTTTTACTACAAGAGGTATAAAAAAAAATGACAACAAAAATTCTGTGAACAAATATCACAGGTATGTACTTTTAAAAAAATGTTCATGATAATATACATTTTCTTATAACTTTGCGAGTTAATTAGCATTTTACTCTGGGAATATGTATTTTAGTTTAAACAACTGAGTCACTGCTAACCCAAAGAAAAACCACAGACATTTATTAAACTCAAACTGGGAATAACACGCTAGGAAGGACACATGGGATAATAAAGTGCAATAACTCAGCTCCTTAGGGATTCACAACCTGCTTTAGGAGAGGTCAGGCCATCAGTAAGATGCCTAAAATAGTGAATACAGTCAACATCAAGTATGTCCTAGGATTCACTTCCACATGGATGTACAGATAAAAGACCACATGAGACTTTCGTTACTGAGAGCAGATGCAGATCCGCGGGGCCTAGTAGTCGGAAAGAGCTAATCGGATACTACTGCTCCTTTTTCATTCTTACTATTACTAGCTATAAAATGCTTGCTCTTTCTGAGCCCTTGAAAACAAAGAATGGGGCCAGCATCAAGGTACAGGAGCCACCTGTGACACAGGTACTCCATGTTTGCACCCTGGCTGCTCTGCTTCTGATCCAGCTCCTTGCTAATGCACCTGAAAAGGCAACAAAAGATGGCCCAAATACTTGCGCCCCTACCACCCACATGGTAGACCTGGATGGAATTCTAGGCTCCTGGCTTTGGCTTATCCCAGCCTTGACCATTGTAACCTTTGGGGAATGAACCAGCAAATGGAAGATTTTCTCTCTCTCTCTCTCTCTCTCTCTCTCTCTCTCTCTAATTCTGTCTTTCAATAAGTAAATCTTTAAAAATCAAAACACAGTCTAGACATTTGGGCAGAGACCTTCAATTCTTGGGGGGAAGGGGGGGATTCACACCAACCACATCTTGTTCAGGTCCTGCTGGCAGCAAAGATGGAGACAGGTGGACCTGAGAGCTACCACATCTCCAACAGCCCTCGCACAGGTGACAGAGTACACACAATGGCCTCTACCAGGAACAAAGTGTGAGAGCTGACACAGTGACTCTCTCCTGGGAAGCTAAACACAACAGCCTGGCTCACTGGGGAGATGACAGCCTTCAGAATCCTTCAAACCTGGGTTCAAACCCAACGCCCATCACCTCCTGTGACCTTGACCAGTTACACTGTTTGTGCTAGCTTTCTAAATCTTTTCTTAATTGATATTTGCCTTAAAAAGTAAATGAAAAGATGGAGGACTGCCCAGGCCTGGCACATGGCTATGCCCCCTCCAACCCTCCAGACCTGTGTACTCAACACTTGGGTGAGAACGGAGGTTTTCTTGAGGCCTTTCACCCTCTGTCCCCAAAAGTTTAATTCTTAGCCCAGATATCTAAAGACTGGGTGCTTGGGTTTGCTGTTATCCCAGCAACATTGCTGGCATTCACAGAGACATTTTGACTCCTCTAAGAAATTGAGTCTGCTACTGGCTGGTACCAAGTGACCAATTAGTGTGAAGGCAGCGTGTCCTGAGGTACAGGTGACAAATTCAATGACCAACCTGCACAAGGCACCCAGATAACAGTATAGTCAATGTAACCAACATGCCCCTGTTGTATTTCCACCACAATGTCTGCATGAGCTCTGAAGGAAACCACAGCAGCCCTCCGCCCTCTTTGCCGAGGCTCTGGGACCAAGAGCTTCATGGCCGTGACCTCTTGGGACAGTCTCACCCTGTCGCCATACTCGCCCCTCGTCTGAAATTGTCCACAACCCCTGTAGATGCTGAGGGCAGTGCCTTGCATCCAAACTGCCTCTAAGGCAAACCCATGAACAAAGGCAAGGAAGGAAGGGCAAAGCTTCTCACACAGGTTCTCGGTGATGCTTTCACGTCATGAGCTCCTCTGGCACTTTTTAAAAACCTGAGCAAATGGGGCCAACGCCATGGCACAGTAGGTTAATCCTCCGCCTGCGGCACCGGCATCCCATATGGGTGTCAGTCCGAGTCCCAGTTGCTCCACTTCCAATTCAGCTCTCTGCTGTGGCCTGGGAGAGCAGTAGAGGATCGCCCGGGGTCCTTGGGCCCCTGCACTCACATGGGAGACCAGGAAGAAGTGTCTGGCTTCTAGCTTTGAATTGGCACAGTTCCAGACATTGTGTCCATTTGGAGAGTGAACCGATGGAAAGAAGACCTCTCTCCCTCTCTCTCTCTGTAACTCTACCTCTCAAATAAAATAAAAAAATAAAATCTTTAAAGGGGGGGGGGGCGGTGCTGTAGCACAGCGAGTTAACGCCCTGGCCTGAAGCACCACCATCCCATATGGGCGCAGGTTCTAGTCCCAGCTGTTCCACTTCCGAACCAGCTCTCTGCTATGGCCTGGGAAAGCAGCAGAAGATGGCCCAAGTGCTTGGGCCCCTGCACCCATGTGGGAGACCCAGAAGAAACTCCTGGCTCCTGGCTTCAGAATGGCGAAACTCTAGCCAGTGTGGCCATCTGGGGAGTGAACAAGTGGATGGAAGACCTCTCTCCCTCTCTCCCTGCCTCTGCCTCTCTGTGTAACTCTGACTTTCAAATAAATAAATAAATCTTAAAAAAAAAAAAAAGGAGCAAACTTCCTGAGGACGCACAGCTTTCCCACGTAGAGACCAGGCTGACCCCCGCAGCCATTTCCCCGTTTCCTTAAGGGGGCAGGGCCCCAGGAGGCCACCAAGGAACCTCAGGGCAGCAAGGGTGGCTGGCGAGGCTGCTCCATCCAGGGTTACCTGTAGCCAGCAGTCCACGGCAGCTGAGCAGGTCAGGCCGGAAATCCCAGCTGTTGCATGACCTCCTGCCTGAGCCCCAGTGTTTAAAAACAAGAAACTACCTTTGAAAAAAATCCAGAGATCAAATGTTGAAAACACTCCACAAAATCCATTTCTAAGCCATGTGAACTGTATACTCATGTTTGCCCAACCCGTATATTATATGTGATATTAGTGACATCATCTCACAGAGGCCCAAGGAAACATGCCACCTGCGTGGACCTTGCACCCCAAGTGCCCTCTGGGGAAAGAAAAGCGAAGAGGACTGGCACTCCTGGCCTCCCCTGCCAGCTGGTGCTGCCACCTGCAGGCGGGCAGGAGCCTGGCAGTCCCTCACACAAAGCTATTTACAAAAGGATCCACCCACGCAGCTGCTGATGTGCCCACTAAAAATACCTCTTGATGCGTGTAGGGGAAAAAGTTCCTAAGTCTGTGACTGCAAGTGTAGTGCGAGGTAATAAGAAGATGCTAAAATGACTCAGGCAACTTTCTGGCGCACAGAGCCTGGCTGTCAAACACACTGAGCAAGCCGCTTACTTGGGTCTGAACTAACATGGGTCGTGGATCCTTTGCCCATCGAATGCGAGCTCCATTTAGCACAGTCCAGTGACAAGAGGTACCTTAGACCTAAGCCATAAAAAAGAAAATGATATGAACTCACCGCCTTGCTTTCAAAATCAGGGGTGGTAACCTGTGTCTCTTCATCTTCTTTTACTATTTCAGCTGGAACCTAAGGACAGAAGACACCATGTTTCCATTTAGCCATAATCAACATGTACTAACTCATTTGCCACATCAGAGAGCACACGAAGAAGCGTGACATCCCAGACGCTTCCATGGACAGCCTGGGAAGTCACTGCGGTTTTGACCTAGGCAACATCGTATCTGCTCTGTAGTCTTCACCTTGGGCTCTGTAGTCTTCACCTTGGACACGTCACCTGCGTGGGAGAGCTGCTGGCAAATCTTTAAGGAGGGACACAAATGCTGTCTTTCTTGTGAAAAAGATGGCACAGTCACTTCAATACCTCTGGTCAGCAGGGAATAGGTGCCTTCCTAAGTCTTGGTGCACCCGTGGGGCTCCTAACCAGCATCCGCTCCCTGTACCGGAGACGTCTCCACTGCCTTGGAGGATCTCGCTCCTCAGACATCCCACCTTGTGGCCGCCCTGCACCGCTTTGCCAACACCAGCAGGAAATGGCAGTCATCCCTAGGCAATGAGGAGGACTCGGCCCACTTCTGAAGGGTCTCTCGGTATGACTTCCTACTACTTAAACAAGGGATGGAAACGGACCTTCCATTCTCGTCATCATTCATGTGTTTCAATGAGCCACTTGGAACCCTGGGACTTGTGAAGACACAGGCTGGATCAATCGTCCAGAAGCTGAGGATGGGAGGAGGGTGATGGAAAGAACAGGATGCCCCATGACATCCCTGAGACCCCAAGCTCGCTGGCCCTGGAATCTTTCACCACACAGAGGCCCCCAAGGCCTTCTATTGCATAGAGGGCAAACGTTCCTTATCGCTGGAGGCACTCACAGAAGCTCACTGTATTTTTTAATTTATTCATTAAAGCAAATACTCCCAACGACCTTGGTTAGCTCAGTCTGAGCTACTCCACGCACCTGAAAGGACCCAAGCTTATTATGCTTTTTCCAAGTAAACCACTCACAGATTACACAAATTTAGACTGACCTTCTCCAATTAGTTTGAGTTATTTTGGCTTTTCTTTAGTTGGTGACTTGCTCTGGGCACTTTTTCTGGAGTGAAATGCATGAGGCACTTGGGAGATGCAGTTGTGGGCCTGCTGCTCTGGTTGCTACCCCTGAATCTAAGTAAAGGCTCTCCTTGTGCACTGAATCTCTGAGACCCTCTGAATGACTGTCCCCTCCACAACTCATGTGGAAATGCACTGGTCACTCTAACAGCTTGAGAAGGTGAGGCTTTTCAGAGCTGATGAGGCCACAAGGACTCCACCCTCACACACAGACCTATGTTGTTGGGGTAGGAGTGGGTCCACCCTGCCTCCCTCTTGCCTTCTGCCACTCAATGACACTAAAAGAAGCCCTCATCAGCACCTGGTACCTGGACATTGGGCTCCCTTATGTCCCTTATTGGGCCAATAAGTCTCTGTTCATCATAAACGACCCAGTCCAGGCACTCTGTTGCAGTAGCACATATGGCCCAAGACTCAGCAATGGACCACCCAATCCTTGGTGGTTTGTCAATCCTTGTTTTCATGCATTTCCTGAGACCAGGTATGTATACAGTGTGCGTATCACCTGGAGAATGACATGGTTTAGCCCTTCTCTTCTAAAATAGAGCTAGCTAGGCACAGAGTAAATGCTAGACCATTCCCCACCCACAACCTCCCGGAAAAGGACCAAATGACTGGAGACATGGGCTAAAAAGGACTCGCAATTATAGGCATCTATCCACCTTTTCAAAGGATTTACAAAATTAACTATAATCGTATCCCTGGAAGAACACAGTGCTTTGTAAAAAATGTCCTGAAATCAGAATTTCAACAGTGATGTTTTCATATATGGATGCCAATCTTTGCACAGATCTTTGTTTAAAAGTATTTCCTTAACACTGGGGTTTAATGACTTGAGTCTTTAAAATGAAAGCCAGAAGCAGGAAGCTCCCTGGTTGTAGGAGTTGGTTCCTGACAGTCATAGGAGCAGAGCTGGGATCCGATTGATTAAAGAGGAATGAAAATGAGACTCAAATGTGAACACTGACCCTTTGCACAATATAAGTTCTCTTCTCAAAAACCAGCCACTGGAAACCTACATTGAGTTACCAGGTGGATGGTGACACAGTCTAATTTTAGGGCTTGCTGAGCAGAATCTCCCACTGCAGGAGCAGGGATGGGGCCTGTCCAGGCACCAGTAGGCCAAGCTGGGCTGGACCCCAAGCCTCCTAGTCTGGCTCTGGGCATTGTACTCACCAGCATGCGCTTCTTCCTCCTCTGCCTGAGCATCCCTGCCCTGTGCCCCAGAAGTCTTGCATCCACTGTCTCAGCCCATGCCCCTGTGGCTTTGGTTTTTCTGTTGTCCACTCACTGGCCTTCAGGCCTTCATTTTAACAACTCCTCCATTGTCCCACGCTCCCTGCTGCCACCTCATCTGCCTCCCTCGTTCCCCTAGACTCTCCTTACAACTCCACTCCCAGGCCGGCGCCGCGGCTCACTAGGCTAATCCTCCGCCTTGCGGCGCCGGCACACCGGGTTCTAGTCCCGGTCGGGGCGCCGGATTCTGTCCCCAGTTGCCCCTCTTCCAGTCCAGCTCTCTGCTGTGGCCAGGGAGTGCAGTGGAGGATGGCCCAAGTCCTTGGGCCCTGCACCCCATGGGAGACCAGGAGAAGTACCTGGCTCCTGCCATTGGATCAGCACAGTGCGCTGGCTGCAGCGTGCCAGCCACAGCGGCCATTGGAAGATGAACCAACGGCAAAGGAAGACCTTTCTCTCTGTCTCTCTCTCTCACTGTCCACTCTGCCTGTCAAAAAAAAAAAAAAAAAAAAAAACCAACTCCACTCCCTACCCACCATGATACCAGAAGAGAGATGGTGCTGGGAATCCGCTGTGTGACAGGTACTGGAACAGGCGCTGGCAGGATCCCTGCTGTCGCTCCCCCTCTTCGTGGAGGAACGACACTGAACCCTGCCTAGGCTTCATATCCGAGTCACGGCACCATTATGTCGCTCCCCATCTTCGTGGAGGAACGACACAGGACCCTGCGCTGTTCTTTCGTCTGCTCGGCCCTCCCCGGGTTTGCTGCTGGTTCTTCCTGGGTTGGCTGCCATCCCTTCCACCTCCGTGGAAGGGCGGTTCCCCCTAGCCACTTTCCCCACTTCCACGGGGGAGCGGCACACCGCCGGCCGGCTCTCTCAGGGGCTGCACAGGTGTTCCCTCAGATGTTCCCCTTAGATGTTCCTGGTGCATGTTGTCTCTCTCCTCCTTTATAGTCCTCTTCCACCAATCCCAACTCTGCTACCCACACACCGAGTACGCTGCTCTCCTCCAATCAGGAGCAGGTCCTACAGTTTATTGGTGGAACTGGAGGCAGCTGTGTAGAAGCTGTTTCTCCCTTCTCAGCGCCATATTGTGGGAGAGCAGATGCATAGAATAAGTCTTAATTCCAGTAACTTAGTCTAGTCCGAGTTGCTCCCCACAGATCCCCCTTTCTTTTTATTTTTTTGGCGTTGATACGCGCCTGTCTTCAGTGCCCCGCGGCACACACTCTGCTCTGCTTGCTAGAGTTGCCCACAGGTGCTTACAAGTCCTATCAATCAGGCAAACCGAATCCGGGTCCTCTCTTCGCCATGTTGTGAGGAGGTTTTTAGGCGCTGATGCGTGCCTGTGTTCGGTGCCCTGCAGCGCATGCTCTGCTCTGCTAGAACTGCCTGCAGGTGCTTACAAGCCCTATCAATCAGGCAAACCGAATACAAGCCTTCTCATTGCGGTATTGTGGGGAGACTTATTGATGTTAATTCGTGCCTGTCTTCGGTGACCTGCGGTGCATAAGCTGCTAGCCGCCCACAGGTGCTCACCACCTCCCTAATCAGGCAGACCGAATCCAAGCTCTCTCATTGCCATGTTGAGGGGAGGCCTTATTTTTCTCTATTTCTCTATCCCCGGGCATTCCTATTTCTCCTATTTTACTTCTAAACTTCCTGCGGCTTCCCGGCGCCCGCCCCGAGGCTGCTTCTCGGTGCCTCCCGGCTCTGAGGCGCTTCAGCCCGCGCTTCTCTCATCTGCGCGGCTTCCTGGCTTCGCGCGCCTGCACCACGGCCTTCGCGCCAGCCCCGCGTTCCCTATCTATTCACGCCCTGTGCTCTCTCTGCACGCGGCGGCTTCCGCGAATCACACAGCGTAGCTCACGTTTCCACCACCGGCATTCAGTCCAAGTTCCCCGGACTAACCTGGCGAATTCCAACCTGGCGGCCCACGTCTCTGCCTCTGGTTCCAGATTTTCGCCTTTTGCTCCCCGGGCTGACTTGAAGAATTCCAAGCTGGCTTACGTCTCCGCCTCAGCCTGCCCCCGCGGCTTCAATTTCCCTAACATTTTTCTCTACCCAGTATGTTTCCCTAACTTTTCTTCCAACAACAATATTCCCCTCTCACTTCTCCTGGCTTCTCCCCATAGTCCGTATCCAAGTCTGTTTGTTCTAGCTTTCACTTTCACTTTCGACCTTAGAGATTTCTCCCAGCTTCCCCCCGTAGTCCGTATCTGAGTCTATGCCTAGGCTTTTGATAGCTTCTTCCGGCACCTTTTTCGTCCGGCTTTTCCCTAGGCTCTTTGCTAGTCTCTCTCTCCGGTATTTTTCCACTTCTTCCCGTTTCTTCCCTCCTAGGTTTTCTATCCGAGTCACGGCACCATTATGTCGCTCCCCCTCTTCATGGAGGAACGACACTAAACCTTGCCTAGGCTTCATATCTGAGTCACGGCACCATTATGTCGCTCCCCGTCTTCGTGGAGGAACGACACAGGACCCTGCACTGTTCTTTCGTCTGCTCGGCCCTCCCCGGCTTTGCTGCTGGTTCTTCCCGGGTTGGCTGCCATCCCTTCCACCTCCGTGGAAGGGCGGTTCCCCCTGCCACATTCCCCACTTCCGCGGGGGAGCGGCACACTGCCGGCCGGCTCTCTCGGGGGCTGCTCAGGTGTTATTTGGATGTTCCCTTTAGATGTTCCTGGTGCATGTTGTCTCTCTCCTCCTTTATAGTCCTCTTCCACCAATCCCAACTCTGCTACCCACACACCGAGTACGCTGCTCTCCTCCAATCAGGAGCAGGTCCTACCGTTTATTGGTGGAACTGGAGGCAGCTGTGTAGAAGCTTTTTCTCCCTTCTCAGCGCCATATTGTGGGAGAGCAGATGCATAGAATAAGTCTTAATTCCAGTAACTTAGTCTAGTCCGAGTTGCTCCCCACACCCTGCCTCGGTCCCTACAGACTGCATGACAACATCACCTCAGCCACAAAGCGGGAAGCTGAGGCTCCAGGTTTCACCACTGCCTTGTCCTTTTACACCATCCATCCCCAGAGTCAGCCCACAACAATTATGAGGGGCCTCATCCAGGCCTGCAGCTCTGCCCCGCACAGGGATTGCAGTGGTGAACAGGCACACTGCCCACTTCCTGTGGTGGTGACAGCTCAGTGGGGAACAGAGGCAATAAACAAAGATCAGCAATGCCAAATACACCTTCACACATGTGATGGTGCTATAAATGGCCCTGGAGCAGAACAACCTCCAGAGAAGCAGGCAGACAGGTCCGAGGAGGAGCAGTGGCTAACAGGGGGATCACAGGATGCTCTAGGCCAGGGAGAACTCAGCGTGGAGGGCTGAGGATGAGGCTGACACTGGCGGAGCTGATGGAGCAGAATGAAGAGGTGGTGGGAGGAGTCGCCTGGCCCCCGCTACGCACCTGGTCCACGGGTTCCTCCACTGGAACGTCTAGGTCCTCCTTGACTTGCAGCGCCCCTTGGGCATCCTTGGTGGGGGTCTGTGCTTTGTACACATCACCTTCTGCAGGAAAACAGCACAGACGAGAAGCTGAGTCCTCTGTACTCTTTCTAACCCATGTCAAAGGTACAGAGCTCGGCGTTCCCTGAGCTCCCCGCATCATCGGACAGGCAGCCTGGCCCAGGGACCCCGTGCCCCGTGCCATCTCACCCCCATTTCCCTTTGGCCCTTGTTTTGCTTCTGTGGAGGCCATGAGTTCAGTGAGCCTCAGTCTCGCGCTGAGCTGTCTCTAGAACGGCCCTGGACACTGGGAGTCAGGGGCAGCCCTGTGCACACCCACCCACCACTGTAGTCAGCCCAAGGGCAGAAACACAGAGAATGCCCAGCAAACCTGTGTCCACCTAACTCAGTGGGAAATAAGCACACAGCAACCTCACCACACAGCAAAGTCACAGGACAGGTTTTTAAGGAAATACAGTGTAATTGCTTCAAAATATATTTAGAACAAGATTCAAACAAGATGCTGCTGGCACACACGTTATCAAATACTCAGCTACTAATGACAGCTCATAGTCAATGCACTTAGCATTCTGATCATGCGTATTAAATGCTTTTACAATCTGAGGTTTATGAAAAGTCCATACTCGTCCTGATCAGACCCAGTAGGTGAGAGCAGTACAAAGACAGTAGGGCAGCCTAAAAGCTAGAAACAACATCCTAAAAGCTAGAAACACAGCCATTCATGGGCTCGGTTCTCCCAAATGGGAAACTCCATTTGCAGGTCCATCCCATTCCTCAGCCGAGGGCCCTGGCCCTGCTTGCCCTCACCAGCCAGGCACTTGTCCTTTCCTCCTTCCCAGCCCCCTGCCCCAGAAGAATCATTACAGAGCTCTGAGCTGGGAGAGGGCACTGGAGGGTGGGTAGACGAACAGTCACGCAAGCCCACTGTGTCCAGACACTCATCTGCACACTGCTTACTGAGATCTCACACTCGTGGTGATGCTCAAACCTACTGTGCCCCTTTGCAGAGAAAGAACACCCCACAGGTAAACATTCAGTGTGACCCACTGCTGGAATTTGAACTCCAAATCTCAGAGAAAGGTCCAGTGTGCTAGGCAGCCAGGCTACCACGTGCAGTATGTGTTGCCAAAGAAAAGATCCCGCACGTCGTGATCAGATTCTCCATTGGTGTCAGTGTGTGGTGAGATGCCAGGTAGTAGAGCCAGCCTGACCACTTGGTTGGCTGTTAGAACAGTCCCTCCAGGTGCCCATTGTCTCATGACCCCACAGTACACCCCATGGAGGGACGCAACATGTCCTGCTCACCTCTGGTGTCCAAACCATGCCTGGCACATAGCAGGACAGCACACACATTGTGGACTGGGGAGAAGGAGCTGGAGGAAAGCTGTAGGGAAATGTCCACACTGATAGCCAGGAAACAGAAGGAAGGAAAATAGAGGAAGCTGAGCGATCAGCAGAAACAAAGAGGAAAGAACCTGAGGCAGATGGCACAGAAGCCATGGGAGAAGAATTGTTAAGAAAAATGACTTCCAGGAACAAGCATTTTGCCTTCTGATTAGTGCTTAAGTTGGATCCCCAGCTCCTGCTCCTGACTCCAGCTCCCTGTCACACCAAGGGAGGCACCAGGCATGGCTCAAGTGATTGGCTCCCTGCCTCCCATGGGGAATACTGGATCCAGGTCCCAGCTCCCAGCCTCAGCCCTAGTCCAGTCCCAGCCATTGCAGGCATTCGGAGAGTAAACCAGAAGATGGGCGCTCACACTCTCCCTCTCACTATTGTCTCTCCTCTCAAATAAAATTCTAACAATAAATTAAATTTTAAGAAAGGAAGAATGACTTCCAGAGCTGTCCAGAGGCTGCTGAGACGTCTGGGACAAGCTGTGATTCTGCAATGGGCCTCTCCCCTGCATCACTGGGCCACGGGGCAGACAGGGTCTCACTGAGCATCTCTCATGTGTACGAATGCAATGCATCACGGAGAGGACCTCTTTCAGAGCCCAGCACCCAGGAAGGGCTCCATAAAAGTGGTAGGAGCCAGTCACACGAACAAGAGTATTCTTAAAATCAGTTCATTTTAAAGACAGCTCTGAAGGCTCATCTTTCCAACGTCTCTCACACTCAAGACGCACAGATGAACCTCCGGGCGGCATTCATTCTCGTGCCTCTCAGAGATTTACTTGCTTGCTGCTTTTCATACACCCACCCCTGATTATACACAAATTACAGGACTAACTTCAAATGCTGGATTTAACCAAAGGCCCTTAGCTGGAGAATCCAGTTGCCTTGAGCCTTGGAATTTTGTTTTGCCTACCACTGCTATACAGGCTGGACAGTTCAACAAATCAGTATAAAACCTGAAACACACACACACACATGCACACACACATGTTCTCAGTCTGGGAGCACCCTGTGTTACCTATAGCACAGTGGAATTTCATGGTACCTGCGCCGGTTTGGACTAAAGGTTCTACCATGGTTTCTTTCTTTCCTTCCTTGGCATAATAAACAGAATCCTGTGTTCTGGGGGTGAGGCTGTCTTGTTTATGAGGCTCTTTTCCTTTGGAATCCACCTAAGAAACAGAAGAAAAATAAGGCTGTTAGGCACAGGGCTCCAATGGGCTTCACAGCCTCCCTAGGTGTGGCCAGAGCAGGAGTGGGCCCCACAGGTTCCATCGCAGGAGACACCTCCTGGAAGCCTACTAGGAGCAGCCTCTTGCCCTGTGTCCCTCCAGGCCCTGCTGTGAATGGCCAAGGGTAGCCCTGTTCCTCCCTCCCAGGGCAGACAAGATGGGCTTCCAGCCTGGAGGTGGTCCTCCCGACACCTGACCCAGGAACGGGGTGAGTGAGCCACACACACACACCCTTGACAGCCGTCAGCAACCATTGCAGGGCTGTTCACTGGGCCTCCGAGTAAGCTGACAGCTTCCCTGATGAAAATCACCCCTGGACTTCAATAAAGGGGAACTCAGGGTTTTTAAAAATACACAGATTGTCTCAACAAAGCAGCACTAGACCGCAGAGTAGGCATGGAACCATTGTTGGCACATCCCAATTCTATCCCACAAACTATCTTTATAATGCAATCTGTCTTCTTTAGTGTTTCCTCCTTTTTCATCCTCACTTGAGTGCTTGGAACTGAATCCAGGTGAAAGTATATAAATAGATATTTTTCTCACGTTCTCTGTGTCACTTAAGAATGTCGGACTAAAAACAGACACCTTGTACTGTGCATACATCGTGCATGATGCAAACTACCGGGTTTCTTTGTTCCTTGTGGAAAGTAAAGCATGAAAATAGCCCTCCAGCCTCGCTCAAGAGGCCACACAGAATGTCTCTACCTATTTTAAGGAATTTCCTACAAGCTGAAATCGTGTTCACAAGTATAGAAAAAGCAACCCGAGCAGAATTGGTTTTAGAAACAGAAATCGGCACATGATGCTTAGAATTTGGAGGGAGCTGGCAATCTAGTTGGTTTCTTTCAGTACCGCTGAGATCTGGTTGTTGCAGTCCATTTTCCAATCTGTAGCACCCAAGAGAGAAATCACACCTGTGTCTTATTATCTCTGAAATGATGCTTAAAAGACAAAAAGACAGGGACAGACATGACCACGTGTGAGGGAACCAAAGCAGGGATGATATCACGCAGAGAGCAGAGCAGGCAAAGACCACCCACACCTTGATGGCATCTCCCATCACCGGGGTGCTTCAACAAGGTAAAGAGTAACTGCCCCCATGCCACCTGGAGCACCACCTGACACAGAGGGGCTGCAGAGGTACAGGGCACAGCATGGACACAATGCCATTCCACCAGGTAACACCTTCCCCAAGCATATGCAGGAAAGACAGGTGCCCCTGGTTCAAGAGCAGCAGAGCTGTGGCTTCCTGCTCAACCTCCACTAAACACGTCCTCCTGGGTGAGAACGGTCAGCCACTCCCATTGTCCATGCCTTCCCCACTTGCCACTCACAGCACCGTATATAATGGACAGACAAGATTGGCTGTTTCTCTTCCACCACCAGGACGTGAAAATCCTTGTGATGGCAAAGATGTAGGCTTGATTTTTTTATCTGTGAATGAGAATGAAGAATGAGCCTAGGACATGGTAGACGCTGAAAACACATTTGTTGAATGAGTGAATGGGGCCAGCACATCTAATCACCTCCCACCTTCCCAACACCTGAGGGAGCCGTTACAGCCTTGGGATGATGTACAAAGGCCTTAGCTCAGCAGAGTGACATTCGTGCTCCAAGTTCCACCTGCCTGCCAGCCCCCAACCTCCCTTCCCCACCTCCTGCTTGCACATCACCTTGCTTTCCTACCCATGGCCCCTCCACCTGGATGCCCTTCCTCACCTCCTTCCTACTTCTGTGAATCCTTCAAATCCCAGTCCTAGTGTCACCTCAACAGTCCGTTGGGTGCACTCCTATGACAGCTCCATGTATGTTGACCATCTGTGTTCCCCAGCAAAGCAAGTAGTATGTGCTCAGCATGTACATGCTGCCAACTGAGCATGCAGCACAGTGGCTCAGTGAATCTTTTCTGACTGAATAACCTGAGCAGGAGGACAGGAAAACACAGGGAAAGAAGAGGGAGCACCTGCATTGTTCAGACAGGGAGGACAAAGGTTTGCAGGGACAGCCTCTGCAGGCCAAGCGTGTCTTTGTATGTTAACTTCATGTTACGTCTGAACTACTGGGAGAGACCTCCTTGCATCCTACAGCTTTGCTCATAGCACCATTACTTAATACTGAAGACCCATCACCTGTTTGATGCTTTTTGCCTTCTAACAAAATGTAATTGTGTATATAATCACAAGACAGGTACCAAATTCAGGAAACATTCTTTGATATAAGGTTTCCATCTAATACAACATCCACATTCCAATTTTGTCATTCTCCAAAAATTGTGCTTTATAGCAATTTTCACTCAAGTTGGGACACAGCCCAGGACCCACTTGGACACCAAGGTCTCTTAGTCTCCTTTAGCCTAGAACAGCTCCTCCCACTTCCCTTGTCTTTTGGGACAAGTGTATTTTAAAATAACACAGTCCTGTTGTGTTCTGCAGAAGTCCAGAAGTCTACCTTGTCTGCTGTTTCCACCTGAGATGAAGGTTGGGTATCCCTGGCCAGATCTTACCTGGCCATGTGCCTCTCAGGTGCCACACCTAAGTGTCAGAGGTCGGCTGCCCCTCATTGGGGATGTAGCCCTTGCAGTGAGGTGCACAGCTCCTCCCCAGGCAGCACTCCTGCCCCTCCTAAAAACACCTCCTGGAGGACATGCAAATATGCTGCTGCCAACTCCCCTGCCCTAAACTCGGGCCAGACACGAGGCTCATCCTTGGCGACCTCTGCAGCAAGGCTTGCGAGCCACCCTCAGGAAGTGGAGGATTATAACTTCCTAACCAGCACAACATCACAACAGTACTTGGAAAACTCACAGGAAGAAAGCCACAGATTTCTAATTCCATTTGAAAGAGAAAATGTCATTTAACCCATTTGCAAGCTGAGTCATACACAGTCCTGATGCTACACTTATTTTTCTTGAGTTTTGCTCAGTTGAAAGCCTACTGCCTTTTAAACGTGGAGTCTCAAGGCTACTCACATGCTTGATCAGAAAAAGGCAGTGGGTGTGTCTTCCCAGCTGCAGATAACAAACACGAAGACTGAATGACAAGGGACCAAGTCTATGCCTCCTCTGAAAACACAGTTCTAATTGAGTCCGCTGCAGTGCCCACCACACCAACGCATCAGACACCCGCTAAGTGCCCTAACGCGAAGGCCCAATTTTACACCAGATTCTACTGAACATTGGCATCCTTCCCAGTCACCAAGCAGCAGTGCTAAGGGAATTCTTTCATCTGCTGACATCCAGCCTGGGGCATATGCAACAGAAGAACATGGCTCAGAGTCAAGCACACAAGGAAAAGCTAAGCTCAAGGGTGTGCGAGGTCGTGTCTGGAGACCAAGAGCAGGGAGTCGGTTCTGAAGGGCACTGCACGGTGGGGTGGAAAGAGCCCTCCTAAAGTGATGCTAACACCCATGCAATATGTGGAGTCACCAGGCAGGGGTGTGTATTCCCCAAGAGGGAGGAAAGTGGGCATGTATAGGGGGCTGTGGGGAGACCCATCTCTGCAGATGCTCTTGCCCTGGACGGGGACAGGACAGCATAGGCATGACCCAGGTTCTGCTCTCGGTGATGAGGATGAGCAGCCTTGAGCTATGCAGCCCTCTGATTAAATTTCCCTTTAGAGCCTTGCCTGCTGTAGGCACTCCATGGCTCCCATTACCAGCTCTTTATGGGCCAGTCACCCCCTGGTGTGGTGTTGGTCCCCTCTAGATGGTAATGGGACTGGCAGCAGTGACTGTTGATGTAAGGATTGCATCACGTCACACGTGGAAGGGTCTTCGGGCTGAACAGGGTCCCCAGCAGAAGCTTAGCAAAATGCTGGACTACACGTCCATGAATGGAACGAACCAGACTGGACTCCAGACCTCCTGATGTTGGACTAAACATCCAAGATTGAGCAGAAGGGACCAACTGCACCCCAAACTTCCTGAGAAGCTGGGAATCATGGCACAGGGAAGCTATTGACAGACTCTTCCAGGTGAGTTAAGTGGACAGTGTGTCAACCTGACCAAATGCCCTAGCATGTGTGTAGGCATCAAGGTCTTCCTCTCTCCAGGATAAAGCCCAACACCTTCCACTTCTCCCTCAGCCTCCAGGCTCCTTGTCCCCTCAGACACAGCCTCAGCACACACCCCAACTCATCAGCTTCTCCCCATTCCCATCTTCTCCACATCATTCCCGCCTCTCAGCCACAAACGAGCCCCCCTACACATCCTCCTAGACCTACACCATTCTTCCCCAGTGAGCACAAATTCCCCCTGGTCCACCACTTTATAAACAGCCCCCCACCATGTGCCCCAGGTCTCCTGTTGTAGCTTCCCCCCTCTGGTTGCAAGCTCTCTAGGGAGAGGGCAAGGCCACTAGCATCTCTATATGCTCAAGCTTGGGACAAAGTACATGGGCTCCCAGATGTCTTAATTCTCAGAGCAGCATGGGTTTCCTGCAGCTATCAATGTGCCAGGGATGGAGGCAGAAAACAGAATCCATTACTTTCAGTCAAATGGCTGACACTTTCTGGTGTCTCTCTATCTCTTAAGTTTCAAGCCCCTCTGAATCAACTTGAGGTCTGTTCACAAAGGGGACAGTTTCTCCTTTGTAATTCCATCCACCTCTCTTCCTATTAAAAACATTTAGAGAGGGGCCAGTATTGTGGTGCAGAGAGCTAAGCCACCATCTGCGATGCCACCACCCCACCCCATATGAGTGCTGATTTGTGTCCTGGCTGCTCCACTTATGACCCAGCTCACTGCTAATGCATCTGGGAAGTGAGCAGAAGATGGCTCGAATGTTAACTACTCCCGACACCCATGGGGGAGGCCCACATGGAGTTCCAGGCTCCTGGCTTCAGCTTGGCCCAGTCCCAGTTACTGACACCATTTGGGAGATGAACCAGCAGATGAAAGATTTTACTCTCTGTGTGCTTCTCCTTCTCTCTCTGTAACTC